AAACTTTGAAATAAAACTTTTGCCATGAAGCGAGTGTAGGTTATTTTTGTATTGAGTCATTGCTATTCAAAAACTTGCCAATTGATTTTCAAGTGGAACTGAAGAGAATGGTTCTGGACCTGTGCATCCTATTTCTCAATCTAAAAAAAGACTTAAGCACATTTTATTAATTAAAAATGTTAAATACAGTAGCCTCATCATCCGTTGCGGTGCATAAAGATGATTTTCTTTAAAACTTAATTACTCTTTTCTACTATCAATTTCCTTCTTCCCGACATCTTTCTCTCACTCTCTCATTCAATCTATCTTCTCTCTCTCTCTCTCTCTATATATATATATATATATATATATATATATATATATATATATATATATATATATATATATATATATATATATATATATATAGTGGAATATTAGTGTTTAAGCTTTTTAATTATATCCTTACTCTGTTCCGGACATTGAGTTCTACCTGGATTCTATCCTCTTGGATTTATTTTTATACAAATATATATGTATGTATATGTGTGTATGTATATGTATTTATATATTTTAGATGTATGATTGCATATGTATGTGTATATTTACCACTAATATTAACAATCTATATATATCTTATATATATATATATATATCTTATATATATATATATATATATATATGTGTGTGTGTGTGTGTGTGTGTGTGTGTGTGTGTGTGTGTGTGTGTGTGTGAAGAATTAATACAAATAGAAAATCTGTCACTTAGCTGATCGGTGTTACTCCTGACTTTCGTTGACAGACACTCCAGCAATCACTCCGTTCACTCGCCCTTCAGAAGTATTTGTCGGGTCTTAATCCTATATAAGACATTACTACTTACTATTCTAAATGTTATTTTAGTAGATACCCATATTTGAATAAACACATTTTTTTTCTTTATACATTATATAACGTCTACCCGCCTGTGTGATCGAGAGACAATAAATTATATGTGCTCTCTCGAGAAGATGTGCATTCATTCAAAGGGTAATTGAACCTTGATGCATTGCAATGTTCTTTATAGCCAAGCTGTATAGAACACGCCACTTTAGACGATGGTTCCCTCTTTAAAGGAAGATGCACGTTCGAACCATCCCAGATAGCATAGATCTGAACGGATGAAGCTAAAGAATGGAGCTCATCTGAAATGGAAACAGCAATAGTGTATGGATAGGCTTCCGATGTTGCGTTTGTGAAAGATAGATTGCAGATTGGAGAGTAATGCTTCCCTCGCAAGACCGTGTAAGCGATTTTGAAGTCTATGAAAGCTGGAATGCGAGGGTTGAATAGCGAATAAAATTTTGTATTTTAGTTATATTTTAATTACCAATAACCCTTAGCCTTTCCCTTGAAATTAACCATTTTTATTTCTTAGTTATTTTCTTTAAAACTATTTTTTAATATTTTGAATTTACAATGAATATCATAAAAAAAAAGCCTAAGAAATATTCCAAAATGGCGATAGTCATTTTTATTTAATAATTTTATCTTTTGCATAATTGTATCTATTTCACTATGTGTTCTTATGTTTCTTTGGCTTTTATATTTATTTACCTTTTATGTGTTTGAGAAGAATTTCCGGGGAAAAAAACAGTTTCTACCAATGTATTCTGTCGCTATTTCTCAAAAGCAAACACTTTACATTTTCACAGAAAACCTCATTAGAATCATCAATTTTTTTTTTTTTTGCTTCATTATCGCTTATCTTAGCTTTTCTGCTTCTCTTCTTTCTCCCTCTTTTCTTCTACACCATCTCTTTCCTTTATAGTCATTGTCCACCCTTTCATTAATCTTCCCTTTCATTTTCTTTGTCTTTCTCCGACTCTTTTTACTTTTCAGTTCTTTTTTTTTCATCTACCTACCTCCGCCATTACTTCCTACCTCTTTTCTTTCTTCCATCTTTCTTTTTACTAGTTTCTTTCACATTCTCCCTTTTATGACTCAACTTTATATTTTATATAACAATCTACCCCCGAGCCTACTCACGCTCTTCTTTCTTCTATCTACCTCATTCTTGCTATTCTTTCCGTTTCCAGAGCCTCCCTTGTTGCATTACTTGCTCCCTCTCTCTCTTTCACTCTCCTCTCACTCTCTTCTCTCTTTCTCTCACTCTCTTCTCTCTTTCTCTCACTCTCTTCTCTCTTTCTCTCCCTCTCTCTCTTTTCCTTCTTCTTGTTCTCCTCTTTACCCACTTTCTCATACTGTTCGGCCTCTCTATATATTTTCTTCATTCCTCTTCCTTCTTTTCCTTTCTCTTTCTGCCACTCTGTTTCTGCCAATCTTTCCCAATAACTCCTCAATTTTAAGTGCCATTTTTGATTTTTCTGACAATGCTCTGACATTAGCCCCTCATTTTTATTTTTGTTATTTTGTGTACGATTTGTACACTGGCACTTTTATTCCTTCTTTCGTTTTTCATCGTTCTCTCTCCTTCCCTCTCTTACTTTCACTCTGTGTGCGTGTGTGTTTATTTCTCTTAATATATTGTCTTTAATAAAATAAAATCTTTAAAGTATACACGTGAATACTGTCACGTGAATATTGTATTCGTTTTCTTTAATATATATATATATATATATATATATATATATATATATATATATATATGGTATAACATGACAATTGGAAAAAAATCTTAGATTTGCCGACGCGTTTCGACGTGTTTTTTGTTTTTTTACAATTGTCATTTTATACCAATCTGTCTTGTTCACAGAATTGATCTGGGAATTTAATATATATATATATATATATATATATATATATATATATATATATATATATATAACACTAATAATCTTATAAATATAGCAGCTATTCTCGTCTCGCTTTTTAACTTGTAAATGAACAAACCAATACCCAAGGGAAAAAATGGCTAAAAAAAAAAAGAACTAAGAACATATACTTCCGGCGAAAATAATCGTCTAAAATCTAAGTTCAGAGTTCAAAGAAAAAACCTCCGACACGAGTAAAGTAAAAATAACTAAGCAAAGTGCCAGACAAACTTACCTAGGTTTCACCTACGCGGATCGTCAGGGCAGACTGTGTGGATAGATAGATAGATAGATAGATAGATAGATAGATAGATAGATAGATAGATATACTGTCTTTTGGCATCAGGTAGTTGGATTGTTAGTTGTGGAAGAGATATGCGGAAATGTTATCTATTGCATTCTTTTCATATATATATATACTAAATTCTTGATGTACATATGTGTGTGTGTGCGTGTGTGTCAGTGTGTGTGTGTTCTTGAATGAAATAGCGAATTTTTATATTATTGTATTAATAATATATTATTTAAGCTCTGTCGAGTTTAACATTTAACGGCGTTTATATTTTACCATTTTATCTTATTTTAAGCTTTAGGTTATATTTTTACTATATATATATATATATATATATATATATATATATATATATATATATATATATATATTGTAAGAGTCGGGGTTGCAAGCATAACGAAATCTTAAGGTGCAGATTATAGACCTGCCATTACCTAATATATATATATATATATATATATATATATATATATATATATATATATATATATATATATATATATATATATCTGATTATCGTAATGGTGACCTAGATAGATATTATACTGGGATTACAGTATTTTGATTTTTAAAATTATATTTGGCATTTAAAATAAACGGGTTTTTGATATATATATATATATATGTGTGTGTGTGTGTGTGTGTGTGTGTGTATGTATAAGAAAAAATTAAACCCATTTTAGAGTAATTAATATTAATTTTTTATTTTCAAAGAGTGATTACTTGTACCTTTGTATATATATATATATATATATATATATATATATATAAATATAAACAAAAACAAACCAGTAATATACCTAAAATAAAACCATAATTAATCTGGATTAACGTATTTAAGCAGATATTTATTTTCATGCCTACATATAGCTATCAATTCATTTTTCTTGTTTAATAACCTCGTGTTATTTAAGTTTTTTTTTAATATAGACAGTTTTTCAACAATACGTAAGTTAAATTTAGTTCCTTTCCTGTTATAAGTTTTGGCTCTTGTTATAATATCCCACTTGAGTGATGTTAAGAAGCCATCATTCTTTAATTGCAGAAATATTTGGAAATAGCAATGAAGTTTTTGTATTTTATATTGCCTAAGGTCATTCGATGGTGGTAAAAACGAAATGACGAAGTATTTTCAGTGGAACCAAAATAAAATTTAACATCGTTATCGGAATGTATGGTCACCCGTATTATCTGTCATACATTGCCTTTTTAATGTAGATATCATATTTTTAGGCAGTTGGGATAATGCACACACACACACACACACATATATATATATATATATATATATATATATATATATATATATATATATATTTATATATATATGTCTTTACTTTTTTTCTTTTGGTTGCTATCTTTACTACTCTTTCTTTTATCTTTTCGGACGTTCATGTGAACATCCTTTTTATTATTTCCCGCTTATTTCTGAAAATAAACTTCGTTAAATCATGCGTATGACTACACACCGCCTTCTCCACTCCATCTTGTTTTTCGTCCAACTTCAAATGCCCTCTTCCATTCCTTTAAAGCACTAATGAAACCCTTGCTTTTCTCCACACATTTCATTTTGTTTTACAAATTCTTCCTCACTCCAATCCGTCATTTACTTCTCCATTGTTTTGCACTCTCCTCTATTTTAACCATCACAAAAGGAAGAAGGAAAAACATAATTTTTTTCGTCGTAAACACATCGCAATTTCATTTCACAAAATCCATTTATAACTTTATTATTTCATATTCTTTCACAAGGAAAACGAATGTTACTTTTGCGCAGTTTTTAAAAATGGTTCCTAATGAAATTCTCCTATTTTTTCTCTCCTAATGTCGCCAGAGTTACAAAACTGCATATAATTGACAATAACTCTCGTTATATAGGCAAGCGCATTCGTACCTTATCTGTAGGCGTAGAATACCTTGAATAGACTAGTCAAGGATAGGACCAGTGTTTATCCATATTAAACTCTAGTAACAGCTTGAATAGGAACAGTTGTTTACGTACAAGACAGAGATAACACTATTATTGCTTATTTGAAACTGGTTGTCCGTGAGTCTTCAGAACGAATTACTTCGTTAAGTTAATCTACCGGAACTTTCCACGGAAATACTTTTCCCTTCATGTGCAAATAATGTACGCTCTCCATCGATTTCTGCTTTCCACCACTTGTGGACTTTGCTCAAAGATAAAGGACAGAGCTGTTGGCCGCATTATCCGTGGTTCAATCTAAAATGCAAAGTGGATTTACAAGAAAAAAAGGGCAAATGCAGGTCCTTTTTCTCCATATCGAATAATCAAGCGCATTTAAATGCTGAAAAATAAATATGCTTGGCCTGGAGTGAGATTGTCTTGCCACTAAGCATTTCATCTTATCATCGTCTTGTGAAAATTACTTTGAAACCTAGCTCGTAGGAGTTATAATGTTAATGGGGGTGCTATTCCAGAAAAGAATATTTCCATATCCATTATTATTATATCTGTGATATAGAATCACCCTAATACACGAACGGAACAGAATAGCTGAAAGAAAGGTATGACAAACATACATTGTTCTCAAAGAAACTTTTTATACCTTTTTATCGCTAATCTCAGTCTATTCATATCTATCTATCTATCTATCTATCTATCTATCGCATTCTATTTATATCTGTCTATCTCTTTGTCTTTCTGTCGACTGATAGATAGATAGATAGATAGATAGATAGATAGATAGATAGATAGATAGATAGATAGATATTAGCAGGAAAAATGATATGTCGTAGATGTTCTTTATATTTTTGGTGAGACTAGGATTTCTCTGAGTGTCCTACAGCTGAAGAATCGTGACTTCCGCCTTCATTCCGGCCTACATCGCAACTAGCGTTCGACACTCTACCAAAGGGAGATAACTGACTTTTTGCATCCCTACAATATATTTACATTGGAATGAATATTTTCGTATGTTACTGCGAAAGTGGTGTCTCCTATTTTATTATCGTGATCACATATCATCAGATACAGATGTCTGGAAGTTGATTTTCAACAGTCCCACCAATAATGCAGAATTCAGTTTGCCTTGTTACAAACAGTAATTTGAAAAAATGGTGTCTGATTTCAAAATAAAACGTACAGAGAGAAATTATTTATTAACTTCCTCTATAAGAAGGATTTGCACTCACCGTCATCCGTTATCGTTTGCTGAACGCTTATGGAATCTAAACGATATCAGCACAGGTAGGTGGTGGGAATATGTTACAGTAATGGCGACTGTACATCAATTAAAAAAAGGAGGAGAACCTCAAATATAGTCAACGGAAACAACAAGGAGTATATTATTTTGGAGAAAAGTTAATCTATGTTATTGGGCTCTCTGTGTTGTTTTAGCTTCTTTGGAAGCAAACAAGACGGTATGTTTTAAGTATTTCACTTAACATGTCCACCACTAATAAAATAATGCCGACCGTGCTATTTTACCCTGGAAGAAATCTTAAAACAGTTCCAATCGTAGTATATTATATAAATTATAATTCTGCTTGTCTTTACTTTAGTTGGTAGATAATGTGTTAGCGCATTTGCTAAACCCTGTCATTAATTCAGATGAACAATGGACCACTGTGTTATGACTGGGCCATTCCGTTTTGACACCGAGTAAAGACTGAAGAAGAGTTATATCAGAAAGGATTTTTGGTTTTAATGAAAATAGAAAGTATACATAATAAGAAAGAAAGAAAAAAGTGAAGACGATATCACTTTCATGCGTTTATCGCCTGCTTCGGTGAAATAGTAACCCATGTCAATTTGAATTTTTCATTTGTATTCTCTTGCTTGATTAACTAGTTTGATTAACTGCATTCGCAATTATGATTCTTATTGCAGTATTCTGTTAAAGTTGATAACTTCAAATGTTTAACGATACAATGGGGCTATTTCCACCTATATTTTCATAGTAATTTCTACACTATAATATAGCTGTGGTATTCACAAGAAGCTTATTATAAAAATGATGATTCATCAGAAAATCCAAACATGAAAATAGTGACATTTTCAAAGATTCTACTAGTTTTAATTAATTATATATTTATCATAAGTATATTCATTTATTATAAGTGTAGCATAGAAATTTTACATTATTACATCCTTTGGTTAATATTGTGCCAACGCAGGTTATTATGACAAAATTCGTGATATGATATATATATATATATATATATATATATATATATATATCAGATTCAATTTCTGATTTTCAATTAATATATATATATATATATATATATATATATATATATATATATATATATATATATATATATATGTATATGTATGTGTTTTTATTTGTTCGCGTGTGTGTGCATATTGAATTGAAATTCAGAAATTAAATTCGAAAATACATATTTTAGCATTATCAAAATTCTGGGCTAAATGAATAGCGAAAGATAT